TGCCCTCCCTCCGGGCTGCGGCTGCCTCTCGGCACGCTCCTCGCCTGCCCAAAGATGGCCCACGTGATGACATGCCCGAGACATGCCCGAGACATGCCCGAGACATGCCCGAGACATGTCCGAGACATGCCCGAGACATGTCCGAGACATGTCCGAGACATGCCCGAGACATGTCCGAGACATGCCCGAGACATGTCCGAGACATGCCCGAGACATGTCCGAGACATGTCCGAGACATGTCCGAGACATGTCCGAGACATGTCCGAGACATGTCCGAGACATGCCCGAGACATGTCCGAGACATGCCCGAGACATGCCCGAGACATGCCCGAGACATGCCCGAGACATGTCCGAGACATGTCCGAGACATGCCCGAGACATGCCCGAGACATGTCCGAGACATGTCCGAGACATGTCCGAGACATGCCCGAGACATGCCCGAGACATGCCCGAGACATGTCCGAGACATGTCCGAGACATGCCCGAGACATGCCCGAGACATGCCCGAGACATGCCCGAGACATGCCCGAGACATGCCCGAGACATGTCCGAGACATGCCCGAGACATGTCCGAGACATGTCCGAGACATGTCCGAGACATGTCCGAGACATGTCCGAGACATGCCCGAGACATGTCCGAGACATGCCCGAGACATGTCCGAGACATGTCCGAGACATGTCCGAGACATGTCCGAGACATGCCCGAGACATGTCCGAGACATGCCCGAGACATGCCCGAGACATGCCCGAGACATGACCGAGACATGTCCGAGACATGCCCGAGACATGTCCGAGACATGCCCGAGACATGTCCCGAGACATGTCCGAGACATGCCCGAGACATGTCCGAGACATGCCCGAGACATGCCCGAGACATGTCCGAGACATGTCCGAGACATGCCCGAGACATGTCCGAGACATGCCCGAGACATGCCCGAGACATGCCCGAGACATGCCCGAGACATGCCCGAGACATGTCCGAGACATGCCCGAGACATGTCCGAGACATGTCCGAGACATGTCCGAGACATGTCCGAGACATGCCCGAGACATGTCCGAGACATGCCCGAGACATGCCCGAGACATGGCCCGAGACATGCCCGAGACATGCCCGAGACATGTCCCGCAGGCACGCTCGTCGTCTGCCCAAAGATGCTCGCGCTGCAGTGGGTCGGCGAGGTGGAGCGCAGGCTGCGATGCGGCGGCGGGGCGGCGCCGCGCGTGCTGCTGCATCACGGCGCGGGCCGCGCGAGGGCGGCGGCTGATCTCGCCGCCTTCGACGTCGTCGTGACGACGTATTCGACGCTGCGCAGCGAGGCGGACGGCCGTCGGCGGGACGGCCTTCGTTGCCCGCCGTCGCTAGGGGTGGCAGTGTGTGTTAGGCGCCGCTGGATGGCAGACGGCGCGGACCGCTCTTCTCACTCCGCTGGTGGAGAGTGGCACTCGACGAGGCGCTATCTCGGCTGGATCTCGGCTGGATCTCGGCTGCATCTCGGCTGCATCTCGGCTACATCTCGGCTATATCTCGGCTATATCTCGGCTACATCTCGGCTACATCTCGGCTACATCTCGGCTACATCTCGGCTATATCTCGGCTATATCTCGGCTACATCTCGGCTACATCTCGGCTACATCTCGGCTATATCTCGGCTACATCTCGGCTACATCTCGGCTACATCTCGGCTACATCTCGGCTACATCTCGGCTAGATCTCGGCTAGATCTCGGCTATATCTCGGCTATATCTCGGCTACATCTCGGCTACATCTCGGCTACATCTCGGCAACATCTCGGCTATATCTCGGCTAGATCTCGGCTACATCTCGGCTAGATCTCGGCTACATCTCGGCTAGATCTCGGCTATATCTCGGCTATATCTCGGCTAGATCTCGGCTACATCTCGGCTAGATCTCGGCTACATCTCGGCTAGATCTCGGCTATACCCGTCGACAAGGCGCACACGATACGCAACCCCGCGGCCGCCACGTCGCGAGCCTGCGCAGAGCTCTCCGCCTACAACCGCTGGTGCCGAGATAGCAGAGATACAGCCGAGATACAGCCGAGATACAGCCGAGACATAGCACAAACTGGGGGTCTTCAAGTCTCTGCCACGAGAGGTCTGATTGGCGCACCCATATCTCCCTCACATCTCCCTCACATCTCCCTCACATCCCCCTCACATCTCCCTCACATCTCCCTCACATCTCCCTCACATCTCCCTCACATCCCCCTCACATCTCCCTCACATCTCCCTCACATCTCCCTCACATCTCCCTCACATCCCCCTCACATCTCCCTCACATCTCCCTCACATCTCCCTCACATCTCCCTCACATCTCCCTCACATCTCCCTCACATCTCCCTCACATCTCCCTCACATCTCCCCCACATCTCCCCCACATCTCCCCCACATCTCCCCGTATCTCCACCAGGTGCCTGACCGGCACGCCCCATATCTCCCTCACATCTCCCCCACATCTCCCCGTATCTCCACCAGGTGCCTGACCGGCACGCCCCATATCTCCCCGTATCTCCACCAGGTGCCTGACCGGCACGCCCATCCAAAACTCGCCCGACGACCTCTTCGCCCTCCTCCGCTTCCTGCGGCTGCCAAAGTACGGCGAGACGCTCGCGGCGTACAAGACACTCGCCCGCCACCCCGACGGGTTGCGCGCGCTGCTCGACTCGCTGATGCTGCGCCGGCGCAAGGCCGACTCCTTCAACGGCCAGAACTATGAATTGGCTGTTAGTTCACTACTAATTAACTGTTAATTAACGCAAGGCCGACTCCTTCAACGGCCAGAACTATGAATTAGCTGTTAGTTCACTACTGACTAACTATTAATTAACGCAAGGCGGACTCCTTCAACGGCGAGCCGATCCTCTCGCTGCCGCCGAAGCTCTGCGCGCGGCGCGCCTCGCCCTTCCGCTCGCCCGACGAGGCGGAGGGTGTACGGTGCGCCGGAGGGAGAGGTGAGTGCGTCGCTCATCGCGATGCACTGTTGCTGGGTAGGCGGAGGTGTACGCCGCGCTGGAGAGCAAGGCGCAGGTCATCTTCAACCGCTTCCTGCGGCGAGGCGCCGTGCAGGAAGACTGCCACGTGCATCCCCTGCCTGCTCTGCGAGCACGCCTCTTCACACCTGCAGCGGCGAGCAGGCAAACTACATGTGCGTCCTCTCGCTGCTCTGCCGGCTGCGCCAGGCAGCCAACGTTGGCCGCAGCTGGCCATACCTCGGCCGCATCTCGGCTATATCTCGGCTATATCTCGGCTAATCTCGGCTAGCTGCGCCAGGCGGCCAACTCGCCGCAGCTGGCCTCGGCGGCCTTCGCACAGGACGAGGCTGCCTCCGCTCCTCCGCCGCCGCCGCCGGTGATCGCTCGTGCCGCTGCGATGGCGGAGGGCGGCGGCGAGCGGGTGGGGCAGGAGGTTTCCCCCGACACTGCAGATTGAAAGTTCATCGTGGCGAAAGGCAAAGTGCAATGACTGGATACGAATTAGGACGACTGCCCGATCTGCATGGAGGGGCTGCAGGTGGACACGTGCACGCTCACCCACTGCGCCCACGCCTACTGCGACGAGTGCCTCCGAGAGCTGCGCGCGCACGCCGTCGAGGAGACGGCGCGCACCGCCCTGCCGCCCTGCCGCCCTGCCGCCCTCCGCCGATGAGGCAGCGGCCGCGCCCAGGCTTGCGGACTGTGTGGACCGGCACGGAGCTGATCGCCCTGCCGCCCTGCCGCCTGGCCAAGCTGTGAACAGCGTCTCTTCACACCTCTGGCGGCGAGCAGGCGTGCCCGCTCTGCCGCGAGCCTCTCCGCGCCGACGCCCTCTTCCCGCTCCGCAAGCTTCCCCCCTTTGCCGACGCGGCGAGGCAGATGGCGCTCGCTCTCGGGCAAGGCGAGGAGGAGGCCGAGGCTGCCACCGGCCCGGAATCGTCCGAGGCGCCGAGACGCGTCCTCGCGAGTGGAGATAGTCGAGATATAGCCGAGATATTGCCAAGACGCGTCCTCGCGAGTGGAGGAGGAGGGGGAGGAGGGGGAGACATGCCCCACCGCCAAGCCACACGCCCTTTGCATGTCGGCTGCTAGGCGACCCCCGCGAAGACCTGCCCGTGTTTGAGGCGGCGCGGGCCTTCCTCGACCCTTCTCAGTAGCCGTCCGTTGTAGGCAAAGATGCTGCTGCTCTCTATTAACTAGCTGTTAATTCACTATTGATGAGCTGTTGATTAAGTATAGGCGTCGACAAAGATGATGCTGTGCCTGGAGGAGGTGCGGCGGATGCGCGAGCAGGACCCGACCGCAAAGGCGCTCGCCTCTTCTCGCCCTGCGCCGCCTCCCTCCTGCCGACCAAGCCACGCGTTGCGAGTCCACGCAGGCCCTCGTCTTCTCCTCCTACACCACCTTCCTGGACCTGCTGCAGCCGCTGCTCCGCAGAGGCGGCTTCGGCACTGCGCGCGTGGACGGCGGCCAGTCGATGGCGGAGCGCGAGCGGCAGATCGACTCGTTTCGTGCGCCGGGTGGCCCGCCGGTGCCTGCTATTGTCGCTCGGGCGCGGCGGGGGCCTGGCGCCGTTTCTGACCCCTCGCGGGGGCTTGTCTGCAGGTGCTGCTCATGTCGCTCAAGTGCGGCGTCGGGCTCAACCTGACCGAGGCGACTGTTAATTAACTGTTAATTAGCTGTTAATTAGATGTTAATTAGCTGTTAATTAGCTATTAATGAACTCAACCTGACCGAGGCGACCATATCTCCCCCGTATCTCCCCCCGTATCTCCCCCCGTATCTCCCTCACATCTCCCTCACATCTCCCTCAACCTGACCGAGGCGACCACGGTGGTGCTGTGCGAGCCGTGGTGGAACCCGTTCGCAGAGGAGCAGGCGCGCCGCCCCCACCGCCCCGCATCGGCGCCCCGCACATACACCAACCACGCCTCTACGGCAACTCGACTACGGCGTCTCGCTAGGGGTCGACCACACTCTCTCGCCCGCCCCGCTCTCTCCCCCGCTCTCTCCCCCGCTCTCTCCCCGCCCTCTCCCCCGCAGGCAGTCGACCGCGCCCACCGGATCGGCCAGCACCGCCCTGTCCGCGTGGTCCGCCTCTCGATCGCCGGTACAGTCGAGGAGCGGATCCTCGCGCTGCAGGAGAAGAAGCGCCAGATCGCGGCCGCCACCCTCGGCGACGAGGACGAGGGTGGGCCGGGAGCGGGCGGGGGGCGGCGGCGAGGCGGCCCGAGGCTGACCGACGGCGAGCTGCAAACCCTATTCGGCGGCACTATGTCAAAACCCCACTGAGAAATTATAAATTTCTCTAGAGCTGGTGCCGCCACTAGATGAAATGCTCCACTGGGCCCCCGGAACACGCCTGCGCGGCGGTGAGCAGTGAAGAGGCGCGGAAAGCTGATTTTTTTACTTTTGGACGCATTTCGGGCTCCGTACTGGTTGACGCAGAGCCGCACGCGTCGACCGGCGCCGTTCGCGACCACGAGGGCGGATGCTGGCCATCCCGGGCTCTGTGCACATCAGCAGCGCGCGTTCTACGCGCTCCGCTATCCAGATCTTGGCGAACCACCTCGAAAGCGCCGTTTTTATCTCGTGCAATCTCGAGCCATGGAGATTAGGCCGAGATCGCTTTGAGCTGCGGGAGATGTTTGGGAGATACAGCTACAGTCACACGGACCCGCGGGGCGTGCGCAGCTCGCGACGGAGATGTTTACAGAGCCCGGGCTCGCTGCGAAGCGGTGAGCGGCGCCCGAACGGCACCGGGCCGCGTGCCGCTCTCTGCAGCTCCGACGCGGCCGGGCGGCTGCCAGAGCCGCACGCGCCGACCGGCGCTGTTCGCGACCACGAGGGCGGATGCTGGCCATCCCGGGCTCTGTGCACATCAGCAGCGCGCGTTCTACGCGCTCCCCTATCCAGATTCCGGCGAACCACCTCGAAAGCGCCGTTTTTATCTCGTGCAATCTCGAGCCGTGGAGATTAGGGGAGATCGCTTTGAGCTGTGAGAGATGTTTGGGAGATACAGCTACAGTCACACGGACCCGCGGGGCGTGCGCAGCTCGCGACGGAGATGTTTACAGAGCCCGGGCTCGCTGCGAAGCGGTGAGCGGCGCCCGAACGGCAGGGTAGCGTGTCGACCTAGACTGAACGCGACCGAGCAGCAAGGTACTAGGAGTGGCAGCCCGTGACAGCACCGGCAATACGCTTGGGGAGCGGTAGAGCAACGGCCCTGGTAGTGGTGGGCGAAGCAGCGACGGCGATGGCGATGGCAGTGGCGGCCCTGGCGGCGACGGCCGTGTTGGCGGATGAGGCGGCGAGACGGCGACGGCGACCAGGGCGACCTGTGCAGGCCGTCACGAGTCGTCACAGAGGTCGAAGTACTTTTCATCGCCTTCCAAGCCCTCGTCGAGCACGACCGCGTCCGCGCGCGCTGCCGCCGCAGCCCCTGCTCGGCGGAAGGCGTCCTGCAGCGGATGCTCGTAGGGAAGCGCGTCCTCTCGCGCCGCTGCCCGGAGGAGCCAGCGCAGCCGCACGCGCTCCTCGTGCATGAAGGCCGTGTTTGCTGCGCCGGCGGCCTCTCGCTCCCTCCTGGTCCTGAGCGCTCCGAGCGGGCTGATGCCCGGGCTGGTCGAGAGGTACTCGGCAAAGGACTGCTTGCTCATCAGCTCGTCGTCCGCGCAGTAGGCGAAGAGGCGGCGGCGGAACCAATGCGCCCACGGCCCGCACTGGTAGCCGTCGCTCTGCAAGTTGAGCGTCACGCTGACTAGCTGCCAGCCCGTGTCCTTTGGCGCCGCGTCGAAGGCGTCCCGAACACGCGCTAGAGGATGCGTGCGGCTGAAAATGCTGGTGCCGAACGGCTCCCAGTGCACGGCGAGCCGCTGAGGCCCGATGAGCGCGACGTTGTGCCAATGGGCGCCGTCGCAGACCTGCTGCAACATCACGCAGTCGCAGAGTTGCAGCACCCGCTGCCCTCCTCTTTGACGGAAGATGCTGCATGCCGAGGCTACGTCGCGGGGGTAGTTGTACCGCAGCGGCGAGTCGGCGCCACTCTCGCCGTCTGGACGCTCGTCTACGTAGTGTGCGTTGGCGAGGTTCGAGTCGCTGAACCACTGCCGGTGGTAAGATGAGATGTAGCCAGCCTCGCCGACGCGCAAGTGGGGCGGTCCCTGTAGCTCTGGCTCCACCAGCTCGACCTCCACCTCCTCGTCGTCGGAGCCGGGTCTGCCGGCAAACAGCGCCTCGTCCTCGACCTCGTCCTCCCCTCCCGTCTCTTCTCCCTTCCTGCGGGCTTCCATGTCTGATATGATCGTGTCCCACGACACCCCCCCACCCTCGGCGCGGTTGGCAGCGGCTCTAGCCGCCTCGGCGTCCTCAGCTATCGCGCTGCGGCGCCAGCGAGGCGCCTCTGCCGAGCCAATCTGGCTCACATCAGAGACAGGGTTCCACAGCTGTTTCATCGACCATGTCTCCACCTTGGTGAAGAACGGGCACTCCACGTACACGTTCTCCTCCTCGGTATCCTCGTGCAGCCAGCGAATCTTTATCTTGATTCTCATGACCTCCTCGACGCGAGCGAGGTACACCTCTGGGTCTCCATCCTGCCGGACGGCCCAGAGGACCTCCACGACGTTCCCCACCTGCAGCGACCTCCGGATCGCCGCTGTGCTCACGCCCTTCTCCAACGGCCAGCCCGGCTGGCGACCCTCGCCCTCCGCCGAGCTCGCCGTCCCGCCGTCGGCCGCGTCGGTCGAGCCTCCGGCCTCGCCCGAGCCCTCCTCCCCCTCCTCCTCCGCCCCGCCCTCCTCCTCCTCCTCCTGCGGCTCGTCCACGAACGCCGAGAGCTCCATGCTGTCGAGCCGGAGATCCTGCAGCTGCGCGGCGAGGCCCTCCTTCTCGGTGACTCGCTTGGACACGTTGTGTCCGAGAGCGGCCGACGCGGCGCTCCAATCGGCTGCCGTTGTCGGGTAAACGTGCCCGCGGTGCCGCGGTGCCGTGAGCCTTGTCGCGCACATCTCCGACCGGCGCTGCGTCCCGTGCAAATCGCGAGAGAGCGTCTTGACGACCGTCTCCGAGAAGAAGTTGCTGATCGGCACAAAGACGCCGACGCTCCAGATGGAATCGTAGACGTCGCTACCGCCCGCCACGTCGCGCAGCTGCGTCGGCCGCTTACAGCTTGCCAGCAGCTTAAAGACGCCGAGGGCGTCGTCCTGAAACCAGAGGCCGACCCCCTCGGTGGCGTTGGTGATTGCAGCGCTGAGCTCGGTGGCATCGGCCGAGTCGGGGAGGTGCGGCAGCATGCTCTGGATTAAGCCTCCCCGGCCCTGCTTCGCGAGCGCCAGCAGCTCCTGCGCCGAGAGAACAGCATGCTCTCCCTCCTCGTCCATAGTTCCCAGCGCCACGAGCGCGGGGTTCGTCCGCCACGCTGCCGTGTGCTGTCGGAAGTAGGTAGAAGCAGCGCGTGCGGCCTTGCGCACGATGGCCCGCACATCCAGGCGCGAGAACGCCGCCGTGTTCTTGGCGACCATTGCTCGCAGCGGCGCAAAGTCGCCCTTCCATGGACGGCCGCCTTCGAGGTCGCGCGTCTCGTCGTTGTCGCTGGCGAGCGCGTCGAGGTAGGCGAGCCGCAGGCGAAGCACGCGGGGTGCCTTGAACGCCACGCCCGGCCCGTCGTTCTCGGTAAACTTGAGGAAGCGGTCGGCCGACCGCTCGCCGTAGATGGCCAGGAACGAGAGCCACACGCGTATCTCCGGGTCGAGGAGCTCAAGCAGCAGCTCGCGCCGCGCGGCGTCCTTGATCGAGCTCACCTTCTCGAGCAGCGTGGCGCCAGACAGCGCCAGCTTCTCACCGAACTCGTCGGTCTGCTCGGCGTCGGCAAAGAGCCCCTCGTCGCCCTGCGCGCAGAGCCACTCGTGCAAGAGACAGCACACGATCAGCTCGAGGCGCCGCGTCGTGGGCGCCAGCCACATGCACGTGTACACCCAGTAGAGCCACCGGGTGTCCACGCCTCCCGGCATGTCGCCGAGACGCGCCAGCCCCTCCGAGACGCGGACATAGTTTTTGCAGCCCTTCGACTCCTTGACGGCGAGCACGACGTCGGCCAGCAGCTGCGTCAGAGGGAGCGTGGGGAAGCGTTGGAGGGGTGTGTGAGCGCCTCTTACGTCGGGCGTGGCGCGCCTCCGGGATGCGATGCCGTCCGCTTTTGGTGGAGCCCGAGTGCGCGAGCAGGTGCTCGCGGCGGCAGGCACCAGCCGCCTCGCAGACATTCTTCACCTCGTTGTTGATCACGTGGGACAAGCAGAGGATAAAAAAGCACAGCACGTGCTTTGCCGCACGCATCGAGGTCCAGATGTGCGCAAAGGCGCCGCCCTTGTGCCGCTCCGACGCAATGGTCAAGCTGGCATTGGAGGCGGTGCCGTCGGAGACGCAGAAGTCGATCCGATCGATCGGCAGGCCGAGCTCGTTGACCGCGCGCACGTTGCTCGCGCCGACGTTCACGCCCGTCTTCTTGTGGCCATCGGCGTCTGGCCGGAGCTTAAAGGTGGCGATCACCTCGCGCTCACGCAGCGCCGGCAGCCTCTCGCACGACAGCGTGACGACGACCCAGGCCACCTTGTTGATCGTCACCTCGTCCCACTGCAGCACGTTTCGCCGCTTCGAGAAGGAGTTCTCCACAGCTCTCTGGCGCTGCACGAACCAGAACTGCATGTCGTGCAAGCGGACCGTCTCGTGGCTCTCGTGCTGCGGCCGCTCCGCCTCCGGGAGCGACTTCAGGTACCGCTTCGAGCAGGCCGTGGCGACGCCCTGCGCGCCACGCAGCGAGAGGGTCTTACCCGCCGCCGAATGGTAGAGCACGTTCGTCTCCTCTCGCCATTCTGGGAGGTAGATACCCCCCGCTCGGCTCGCGGGCAGCGCCAGGGTCGACGCCGCCGCGCCGGGTCTGCCGGGAGGCCGCCACGAGAGCATGGCCACGTGAGTGCGCCGCATAAGCTCGAGGATCGTCTCGCCGGGCAGGACCTCGAGCGTGCGAAAGCGTCCGGCGCCGCGCAGCAACGAGCAGTATTGTCGCTTAAAGCGCTCGAGCTGGACCCGCAGCTCGCGCTGGAGGCTGGGGCTGCGCTGCAGCACCGCGTGGAGGGCGTGCAGCTCGTACAGCCCGCGGAGGCGCGGGATCTCGTCGGGGTGCCGCGCCTGCTCGGCAAGCGCGCGAAAGCACATTCCTAGCCGGCGAGGCTTGAGTGCGACGGCGTTCTCGTCCATGGTCTCCAAGGCAAACTCGGCCATGGACAGCTGCCAGACGGCATCTGTGCCCCACGCAGCCTGCGGGTTGGAGAGCAGGCGCAGCATGTCGCGCTCCTTCTCCTGCCAGAGCTCGCGCAGATTGGCGAGCGCAGTCTCAATCTCCGCCCGCTGCGCTCGCAGCAGCTGCGACCTCGCCAACGCAGATTGCCTAGTCTGCACACCGGTCTCGAGGGCCTCGAGTGCGTCTGCGGCCGCAGCCTCCGCCAGCTGCACGCTGAGGCTACCCGTCGCGACGCCAGCGGCGCTAGTCAGCTGCGAGTCCTCAAGGCGAGGCCGCTGCGCCGTCCTGGCGCCTGTGGCGGTCGCGGGTGACCGACCTTTGCCGTAGCCGGGTTGGCGAACGCAAGCGGAGGCGGTCTGCCCAGCCTTGGAGGCGGCGGCTGCGGCGGGCAGCCGCGCCTTTTGGACGGTAGACGCGCGAGAGGCCTTTTGAGCGGCTTCAGCTCGCTGACTGCGCGTCTGCTTTTGGCACACCACCCACTCGCCGCCGACAGCCTCGTATTGTGGTGCTTCCGATCGTGACGAGGGCTCAGACGGACCGCGCGAGCCGGCTGCACCAGAGACCTCCTTTGGAGGACGATGAGCGCCTTGCATGACGCCCTTGGCCTTGCGGCCGTGTGCAGGCTTCTTCTTCGGCGCCATTGCGACCTGCTTTGAAGGCGCCTCGAAGCTAGCTCGATGGGTGCGGGTTCATCGCGTGTCTTTTCCTGCGGCCCACTGTGAAATCGGGACCTTAGCTCTCGTTTTAACACAGCCCGTAAGGTGCCCCGCCGGGGTGCCGGTTCGTTTTCCGCCCACGATCATGACCTCGGAGAACGCATTAGCCGCTACAGCGGAAGCTGTGATTTCGGCTACCTCGGCAATTTCGATGTAGCGGCTAATGCGTTTCGCGACATAATCGCTAAAACTCGAGCCAGAGCTATGGGCGCCGAGTTCGCCACCCAATTTGTGTTAAAACGGAAGCAGGGCTCGTGGTTCGTTAACTGTAGACCACACGGACGCGCGGCCGGCGGCTGAGAAGGCCACGCAGCCCCTCTTCCTGGTCACTGACGGGAGCACTGGTCGGCGTGTAGACCCCAAGATGGCGCTGTTCGCGCCTCCCGTCCACCACTACCGATCAGGTGGCCGGCCTGGGTGCCCCCCCGGCGGGTGGGAAAGGGCGCAAAGCTCCGTTTCATTGCCTACCCCTGTAGTTTTGACATAGTGCGGCGGCTGAGTGTTGCTCTCGGTTGTGGGAGGATGTACACGGTACAGGACATGGCTTATTAGTTACTGTTGCCGGTTCCCGGGCCGCGTTCTACCTCCCTCGTTATTCTCTCTAGAGCTCTATGCCCTTGAAGCTTGATCTCTTCGACTTCGTACGGGGTGTGGAGCTGGAGGGTGAGCTGACCAGGGGGTTGTGCGCCGGGCCCTCCTGCTCGGTGCTCGGCTCCAGCCCCGGTAGACAAGTCTTGTCATCAACAGAGTAGAACTAGAAGAATCTGACGCCACCTCGGGGCCGATGTGACCAAGCGCTGGTAGCGTGGTTTGACCTCACGCCCATGGTCTCACAGTGTGCCGGCAGTCGCCGAGCAGTGTCGCTCACACAAAAGCCGCAGCACAAGTGACTGAGGGCCAGTGTGTGAGGGCGAGCCCATCGCTGTCACAGCTGTGGCAGCCGCACAGTAGGCTGTGTCAACTGTGCAGAGTGTGTGAGCAGCAGAGGAGCTGCTCTCCAGGCTTCTCGACTGTCGCAAAGAGCTGCATGCCACCGAAAGCGCTGTCGAGGTTCACCGAGCGCGGCGCATGTTGGGGGAAGCCGCCACCGACGAGCGCGTTGGACTTTTCACTCCGGACAAAGACGGGTACACGCACACGAGCCGCGGTCGTGCGCCCGTCATAGCGGCGAGGCGCAGGACCGTCTGTGGCGAAGCCCCCCCCCCCCCCCCCCTCGTCTGCCCTCTGGGCCTCTGCGTCGTGCCTCTCCCCAATGTTCCCTCGCCGCGGCCCCGATGCCGATTGCCGTCTGCTCCCTCGCTCCCACGTCCTCGGGTCCGCCCTGCTCTCGTCTGCGCTAGTTTCTGTTTCGTCTTCACTTTTGTCTCTCCTCTTCTTTCTAATCTTCACTTGTATGCTTTGCACATCGCGTCGATTCCTTTCGCGTGAGCACCAGGGGTGCACCACTCTGAAGCCCGCCCAGTAGCTGAAGTGCTGAACCGCTCCCTAAGAAGGAGCCTAGGAAGGAGCATCATCAGTCTCACCCACTTCGCTCGCCGCCCACTGTCTCCGCTCCCTCCCGCGAGCCGCCGTCCCGGCCCTCGTTCGTTTCACTGGCTGTTACGGCCTGTCCCCACGTTGCCTCCGTTACCCCTCCTCCTGCCTCCGCGACTCCCTCAAGAGGCTGGCCGGCGCGGGCCTCCTTCCGCCTAGCAGATCCTAGCGAAGAGTTTCGTCAGTTACTCAGCCACTCGATATATCTCGACAAGGCGAGTCGCGCAAAGATTTACGACATTAGCGGCGCGGCGGCACCAGTGGCGCGGGAGTGCGAGAGGAGGCCACAAGACGTGCTCGATGAGGCTTATGCGGCGATCGGAAAGGCGCGCTTCACAGGCAAGGCGGACGAGGAGACGGTGCCGCACATGCTGGCAGGGTTCGAGTGGATTGTGCGCAACGCGGTCTTTCAGGCGCAGGAGCCAAACCCGGCCGAAACGGGTTTGAGTGTCGACCCGGCGGTCCAGTCCTTCTTGCATGCGACGGGAGACGACTACTCGTGGCTGCGGCGCAGTCTCATCGCGTCCGCGCGAACCCTCGCCCGAAAGTTGCCGGGGGCGCGAGTCCGCGGGCGCGCCGAGATAAGCATTACTAGGCTGGAGATGAGCAGCTTTGCGAGCAGCGAGCAACCCGAGGTGGCCGATGGTCAGTATGATCGGCGTCGGCCGCATTTCATGGATCAGATCCTTCCGCTGGCGCTGCGTGAGAGACCTGTAACAGTGTTTCCCACCTGACGTGTGAGAGTGAGTCGCTTTTTGATCTCTTTCATGTTTCAAATTACGCGTTTCGCGCACATTTCGAACATGTCCTGCTGCAAGAGGCGTCGTTGGCGACGTGCTGGAAGTGGCGCCCCGAGATCTGTTTGATCCCCTCGTAGTTGATCGAGCCGTCGTCCGCGACGATCTTGTTGCGGACGGACTTCCAGTCGTCGGCCTCGCCGTCTGGGCCGTTCCTGAAGCCCGCCGAGTTGTTCACGAGCTCCTCGATGAACGCGATCGCCTCTGCGAGCATCGGCACGCCGGACGTGGCCCACTCGCTCGGGGGCGGCACCAATGGTGATACGTCCTCGAGCCGCCGCAGCAGGTAGAGGACGCGAGAAACGAATATCTGCGTGCTGGCGCCCCCTATACCCGGGGTACCCGGGTACGCAGGAGTACTCTCCCTGCCGATCGTTGATCGTTCGGGGTGGCCGCTGTCGCTGCTGTCGCCGCCGCCGCCGCCGCCGCTGTCAGCCGCATGACCGCCACGCGGCCCCTCACCGCCGCGCTGCTTGCTCTCTCGCTCGCGCGGCCGGTCTCCGCCCACTGCGTTCGCCTCGCCCCTTCACCGTGGAGCTGCGTTGCCGAGCGGCTGCCTCAGCCGGCCGCACCTCGCCTCCGGAGGAGCACCGCCATCGCCGCAGCGTTGCCGGACGACCCTCCCGCCGAGCCAGGAGGCGCGCTCGGCCCTTCGAGCGGCGTGCCGACCGACCTTGCAGCGCCGCCCGACGAGCGGCTCAAGCTGCTCGAGCGGCTGATTGACGAGCGGATCCGAGCCATCGCAGCGACGGGCGACGAGGACGAGACGCCCGCGAGGCAGCCCGGCCTCCGCGCCGTGCTTCTCATGCTGCTGCTCTGGAGCTGGCCGTGGGCGCTCGCCGCGCTCGCCGGCTTCCTGCCGCTGCCCGCCGCAGTCAGCCGGCCTCAGGCGAGCGCCGCGCTCGCGCTTGTGAGCGCACAGCTGGAGACGCTGCGCGTGGTTGCGGCGCGTCTGCTGGTGGCGACCGCGTGCGGCGCGGTGATCGGACTCGAGCGCGAGATGACTGCTCGCCGCCCTAGATGCGGGATACAGACCCGCGCCTTCCCACTGGCGCTCGAGAGGGCACGCACTCGGGCCGAGTTCAGCTGCCGTGCGGGCGTCTTCAAGCAGTGCTCTGGACACACGGCACGGCACCGCGGACCTTGGTGACAACGTAGGCGGGCACTGCCTCGGGCGAAGGGAGCCGCGAGCTGTCCCGCCCCGCAGGGCTCCGCTCGATGACCCTCGTGTCCGCTGGAGAGTTGCTAGATGCCGAGAGCACACGGCCGCCTCCACGGAAGTAGCAGGAAGAGAGGCCAGCACACAGTCGTCTCCGGTGGAGTGCTGCTAGATGCCGAGAACACACTACCGCCTCCACGGAGGAGCAGGTAGAGAGGCCAGCACACAGCAGAACCCGCGAATGGACACCGGCCGGCGCGGCGTGTGGTGGATCACGCCTCGCCGACACTGGCGCCGCAGGCTCGGCGCTCTACACGCTCGCCTCCATCTTCGGGATCGAGGGCGGCGACTCGGTGCGCGCCGCGGCGCAGATCTGCACCGGTGTCGGCTTCATTGGCGCCGGCGTCATCGCAAAGGGGGGCGGGAAGAGCCCCGTGCGCGGCGTCACGACGGCGTGTGCGGTGTGGGTCTCCGCCGCGCTCGGGGTGGTCGCTGCGTCGGGGATGTGGCTCTTCGCCCTCTACTCGGCGGGGCTGTCGGTGACCATCCTGCGCATCTCGCGCTGGTACAACCGCCTCCTCGACGAGGCCCGCTGGGAGACCGGGTCCGCCTCGCACTGACTCGCGGCGGCACGCTCTTGGAGAGCGATTCATACATCATAGCTCGCACGCACCGTCGGCTGTCGGTGCTTCAAACGATCTAGGTGCCTCGTGTAGAGCGGGTTGCGTGCTACTCAAGCGCACGTGTTTTCGCAAATCTAGGCAAGAGGGGATAAGAGCGGATAACAAAACTACTGACGTATGTACACCTTCTCGCGGTGGATACTAAAGCCGTATTACTAAACCCGCGTGGCCGACCTCGCGTCTTGCCAGCTCACAGAGGTCAGAGCTCGCAACTCACAGCTACTACTCTACCTGACTGACTAGCTTTTTCTCTCAGACCACATACCGGCATGCACATTCTGCTTCCGTGATGGTGCACGTAGGGGACAATAAAAGGCGATGATCTCGCGGAGGAAATAGGAGACGGCTGCGCACGCGCCATGCATTCTCTGCTCGCCGCCGCTCACACGCTGACCGACGCCTCAAAGTACCTCGGGTTGAAGGACCACAGGCCGTGATTCCAGGGGGCGGGGCGGCGGTCCGCCTGCGCCACAAACTCGTCGCACCGGCGCACCAGCGAGAGCGTGCCTTCCTCGAAGCGCCGGCACGCCTCCTCGAGCCGCGGCATCGCTTCGTCGCTCGGGGCGCGCAAGAAGCTGTCGAGCGAGAAGGCGTCGAGGCCGGGCTTCCGATTGAGCAGCGGGGGCATGGGGAAGGAGGTGGCTGCCATGAGAGTCGCCTAGCGCGCGCGGGGGGGTGGGGGTGGTGGTGGTGTGGGGGGGGGGGGGGGGCTTCCACCGGGGGGGGTGGCAGCAAGAAGTGGTGCCGGGGGCAGCATGTGGGCGCGTGTCGAGGCGTGTCGCGGGCCGCCTGCGTGACGGCGGTGATCTTTGTGCCGCACTGCTCGCCGACCGGCCACGCAAAGGAGCAGAAGCGCACATCCTGCGCGTAGACGGCGACGCCGCCGTAGTGCTCGTGGTGCGCGGTGACCTCGAACACACACCGCGTGACGGCGTCGATGGCGAAGGCGCGCAGCTCCGCCTGCCCGAACCCGCGCAGCGCGGGCAGCAGCGGCGCCGTGTGCACGAGCTCGCCGACGAGCGCCTCGAGCCAGCAGCGCAGCTCGGCGTCGGCTGCCGCCGCCTCGGGCGTGGGGAACCAGAGGTCGAAGTAGTCGGAGACTAGCCGGTGCACCACGCGCCAGTACGCCTCGGCCTGCTCGTAGTACGGCAGCCGCAGCCCCAGCTCGCCCTCCCGCCGCGCGCAGTACTCTGGCACGTCGAAGAGGAGGCGCAGCAGCTCGGCGTCGCCCAGCTCGCCTGCCGAGGGCGAAGGGCGAGGTCGGGCGAGGCTCCGGCGCTGCTGCGCGCGGCGGCGGCGGGTTCGCGATCTCTCCGCCCCTCGACCAACACATCCCGGCTATATACCTATCCATCTATCTCTCCGCCCCTCGGCCACCACATCTCGGCTACACCCTCCGCCTCGCAGCTCTGCGCCGTCCACCATCACCTCGGGCACCGCCTGCCACGCGGCGCGCAACCCCTCGTCCGAGAAGGCAAAATTGCGCGCGCCGAGCGAGCCCTGCGCGATCAGCAAGTGGCGCGCAATGTGGTTCACCTACTCTCGATCAGCGCGGTGGCTTTGGCGCCCCTCCTCCGTCTGTGCGCGGCGCCCTCGCCGCTCAGCGCGCTCAGCGGCAGGGCCCAGCAGATGAAGGCCCACTCGCAGAAGAAGCGCGAGGACGGCGCAGCAGCGCTCGAGCTCCCACCGCTCGGCGAGGCGGACTTCGCCCTGCTCTGCTCGCTGAGCCGCTTTTTGGCTGCGATGTACTCTGCGCGTGGACGTGGGACGGTCGGGATCTTTACGACCACAGCGCCGTCTTTGGATGAGGCGGCCATTGGTCCGCTGCTGCCGGCTGTCGCCACCGGCGCTGCCGGCTGTCGCCACCGGCGATTTATGCGCGGCGGCGGGCGATTCCTTGGCGGGATTCATAACCCTCCTGGGCGAGAAAAATCCTCGACGAAACAGCGAAACAGCACACTGGCACAAGAAGGGCGCGGCCTCTCCCCACCCAGCGCGCCGAAAAAAACGCGCATTTGGGCCCGGCGTATCAGCTGGCGACCTGTACCTTACTCGGCCGCAAACCTTAGTCTGTAAGATCCGCGGCGCTCCCTGCTGGTTACGCATGCAACTGCGGCTGGACCCTCACCCCCCATCCGAAGGCGTAAGAAGAATTCTTTCTTGCGAGCTCGACTCTGTGGCGCGTTATTCATCACGACGCGACCAGCTAGAGGGCGTCGTGTAGCCCTCCTTTTGGTATAACATAAAGGCCACTCTGCTGGAGGGCGCCGATCTCCACCCATCCGCCACTGCTCAGCAAAAAAACCGTAGCCAGCCGCTCAGCGATGGGCCTCGTGCACGAGTTCCCGCTCAGCGACAGCGGAGATGTTGTTGTGCGCATTCTCTCCGACGTAAACGGCTCGTGGGGCGGCACATGCGGCGCTTCGCTCTGGGCAGCGTCCACCGCCGCATTTCCGTGGATTATCGCCACTGAGGAGCGCCGCTGTCTCTTCAAGGACTGCGCGGTGCTAGAGCTAGGGGCGGGGCTCGGCCTTTTCGGCATAGCGCTGTCCAAAGCTGGCGCCGCACGTGCTACGCTGACCGACCTGCCTCTGCAGCTGCCGCTGCTGCAGCACAACATCAGTTCCAATTTGGACCGGCGCAGCGGCTGCACAGTCGAAGCGCGCGCCCTGGAGTGGGGCACGCCTCTTCCCGCCTGGGCGGCGTCGCAGCGGTGGGACCTGATCGTCGGCCTGCGCTCGCCGCGAGCCGATGCCCGCCCCAGCAGAGGCCGGTTGCCGTGAAGTCTCTCCCTGAGCGCGTAGGCGCCGATCTGGTCTACGACGAGGCCGCGGTGCCCGCCCTCGCGGCCACCCTCGCCTCGCTCCTCCGACGCAGCCCTGGCGCGCGCGCCCTGCTGGCGCTGCCCGACCGCGCCGAGTTTGACGAGCCGGCGGATGGCCGGCCTGACTACCGCGTCCTCTTCGACCAGCTCTCGCTGCCGGAGCACGGGTGCCTGGCCGCCGTCCAGATCGGCTGCATCTCGAGCGAAGAGGCCGGCACGCTGGAGTCCGAGATCCACCTGTTCCTCGTCCTGCAGCGCGACGAGCAGGGGGAGCAGCGAGATGCATCTTCCTCGGCCCGCACATGAGCTCGCTCGCCTGGTCGCGCTCTGCTCTGGTCGCGGCTCTCCTAGCTGGTCGGGGCCCGGGCAGAGCGCGCGCCATGCTGTAAACTGTTTATTTTCCGTTCAGCCCACGCGGGGACGTCGCCGACGCTCGGCCAGTCGCCAGACGCGCTGCACGCCGTCTTTGTGGCTTGTGCAGACACCGGGCGTCCGGGGCGGGGGGCGGGCTCGACAGGCACAGGGCCACGGCATGTTCGGCAAGCATGCACCTATACGTACAGACGTCTGTACGGCTTTGTACATGGCGGTATCGTGTCTTGATACTGCACTCTAACCCCTTGTAGCACTTGGAGCAAACTTGAGGAGTGCAGTCTAGAGTCATCAGCCGCGCACGCCCAGGACCGGCTGACCGGGGAGCTAAGAAGCGCACCCAGTTAGCCGCAGACGCGCTGCCGCTGGCCAGACGATTGGGATCGGGTTGGCAAGAGAGCCCTAGCCCTGGGGGACGCGCGGTCGCAGGGCCATAACACGGGTCTCCGAGGGATGGTACCGCGCTCCGGGTTTCCCCTATAGCCGTAGCAGCAGATCGCACCCTCTGTCCCTCTCTCTACACTCTAGTCTACGACGCTTGTGCTCTCTACTCGGAGTTCTTTCAAGCGACGGCCGACGGGTACATACAAAAGAAACAGAACTACGGTACCTCATGTGACGGCTCCCGCGAGCAGAGCCGCCACGCTTACGTAGAAGGGCTCGTCCCACGGCACAACGTGGCCGCCCATCGCCGCCGGCTCGCCGACGAGGTCGTGCCGGTGCACGGACGGGCCAACAAAGGCCGCCAGCAGCTCCTCCGAGCGGCACGGTGCCACAACCGTGTCCCGCTCGCCGATGACGTGCAGAGACCTGCGCAACGGGCCGCAGCGTACGCCTTGGATGCGTGTCGGCGCGTGCGGTCGAGCCGGGCGGGCAGGGCAAGGTGTCTCGGAAGTGTCGTGCAAGCGCACGGCGTCGGCAGAGGGCTCGACTGCGGCGGCGGCCAGTAGCCCCCAGCCTCGGCGGGCCATGGCCGCCGGAAGCCGCCGCAAAGGATGGCGAAGCGCGGCGGCGGCGCGTCCGGCCGGCGCGCGCGCCTATGGTGGCCGAGGGGCCGCCGGAGAGATGTAGCCGAGATGCAGCTAAGGTACGGCGGAGGTGAGCGGTGTTGCTGCTGCAGGAAGGCGAGGAAGATGGCGGCGGTGAGTGCGCCTGTGGTGGCGACGACGAGCTGGGGCGTCATTGCACAAAGCGGAGCCCACAGCAGTGGGGAGGAGTGTGTGAGTGAGTGGTGTGCGCGGGCGGCACCTTGCGAGAAGCCGAGCACGCCGTCGAAGGGCGAGTTCTCCCTCGCCGCGGTGTCCCAAGCCTGGTGCAGCGAATGCAGGTTGAAGCCTGGTGCAACGAGTGCAGGTTGAGGGTTCATCCATGTTACAACCACCCCACCCATCAAGAACCACCCCAGCACACCCCAACCCGCGAGCGAACACCCGTTGAGCGAACACCCGTGCCGCGGCGAGTGCTAGTTGGAGTACAAGGGGCCAGCATCTGTTGTCTGCTATTGCCGCAGCCACTCCCAGCTGCTCGGTGTGAACAGCTGTTCACACCGAGCAGCTGGGAGCTCCGCAAGACCGAGGTCCCTCGAGGTTCACGCGGAGTCGGCTGGGGCTATACCAGACGAGCATCTGGGTCTCCCGCGCCAACTCGAGGAGCCGGAGGGAGGCGTCGAAGCCAACGGCGCCGTGCCACACGTTGTCCTCCTCCGTCAGCACAGGCAGCTCGTCCGGCGAGAAGGGAGGCGCAGTGGTGTGCGGGTCGGACATGAGGTCGCGCCTGCCAAAGCCAACCACCTATCGAACCCGTTCATCGGTGAGGTGTCGGTGTGCGGCAGTGGTGCACGAGAGGCAAGCTGCCTTCCCCGCGCTCGTCTGGTCGCCAGCGATCCAAGCGACACCCTCCTCCACGCGTGGATTGCCGGTTGAGTCGGCCGCGGTTGGGGCACGCGGTGCAACGATACTGAGCGCAAAGCCCTGGTCACGCATTGCCTCGCTCAGCGCGAGCAGCGGGTCGACTTCGGCGGCACAACCGAACGAACCCGGGTAGCCGTGCAGCGCGAGGAGGCGCACGGGCCGAAGCGGCGCGCTCTGCATTTTAAAAAGGCCGCGATGCTTTGGAGGGGCAGGCAAATCGCGAATGTGCGCCGGCCGTCGTTAGAGGGGGGGCGCCGGCGCCCCAGATCGTTCGTTTTTGAGCTTAGCCTTCGATGTAATGAAACAACGCAAGGCGGACATGGCATATCGCTCTCGGGCCCACAGACATCCCGCACACTCGCCGCACACCCGCCGCCCCCGCGCGCGCCCCACCCCGGCCGGGAGAAAGGGGAGTGACAGTTTGGGACTCGCAAGCCCGAGTATGTTGAGTCCTGGCCGAGGTGGCCGAGGCCAGAGCCGAGCTGGATGCGGCTCACGCTAAATTGATGCTTGCGCGCGGCGCGCTTGTTGACACGCGCGAGCAGCTGCGTGCGGCGGCCATCGGCCTCGCGGAGTCGAGGGTCGAGGCGGTCTACCTTCGACAGAGACTGGATGCCCTCAAGGTGGTGCATGATTCCGAGAGCGACGGAGGGACTGGCGGGACGGGACAACGGGTGGCAAGCCCAAGCTACACGCCCATGGGCGCCAATTTCTCGCCCCCCAGGGCGCGCGAAAGGGCGGACGAGGCGGTCTTCCTGCCGCCGCCGCTCGGTACGCCGCCACTCCCGACGAGGGCGGCCGCAAGTCGGGTTGCCACCCCCATGGGCTGCTCTGTGGGCGGCGCTAGCCCCGAGCGCGACGGCGGCGACAGCGGAGGTGAGCGCGTCTTCAGTCGGCGCGGCTGCGGCGAGGGCGTCGAAAATTGCGACGGTGCCGCTGGCGACGAGGAGAGAGAGGAAGCCGAGCGCGAGCTGCAGGTGGCGCGGCTGGAGGCGGCGCGCGCGAGAGAGGCGGCCAGCGAGGCGTGGGGCGAGGTCCGATTGGCTCGGGCGGCGCAACGGTGGACGACGCGCCGCTCAAGCCGAGCCGCGAGCCGCAGGCAGTCAGAGGACGTGAGCGCGGTTGATGAGGCGGAGGCGGCGAGGGTACAGGTAGAGGAGGCGGAGGCGGCGAGGATACACGCGGAGGCGGCGAGAAGAAGGGCGGAGGAGGCAGAGGCGTGTAGCAGGCGGAGGGTGGAGGAGGCGGAGATGGAGTCGTTGCGGCAGGCGGAGGCGGCAGAACTGAGCCAACGTAGGGCGCGCGAGGCGGAGGCAGAGGCAAAGCTATCGGAGATGCGAGTTGCCGAGATTGGGGCGAGATGCATGCTGCGGCTAGAGGAGGCGGAGGAGGAGAACCGCCGGCTTCGGGAGGCGGAGGAGGAGAGCAGGCGGCTGCGGGAGGCAGAGGTAGAGAGCAGGCGACGGAGGGAGGTGGATGAGGTGGACAAGAGGGAGAACAGGCTGCCGCAGGATGCAGCAACGTTGGATAGTGGGCTGCTGCGGGAGGAAGACGAGAGCGGGCGGTCGCTGGAGCAGGCGGAGGGGGCGACGGAGGGGGCGACGGAGGGGGCGACGGAGGGGGCGACAAATCGGCGGCAGATGGAGAGCATGCTCGCGCGGATTGCGGAGGTGGAGGCCGAGTCGGCACGCAGGGCGGCCAACGAGGTCAGCGCGCGCGCCGAACTGGCCGCAGAAGCGGTCGCGGCCCGGGAGCGCGCTGACGATGCGGAGCGAGAGCTGCGGCGGGCGCAGGAGCAGGCCCGCGCGGCGGAGCGGTCGAGGGAGGAGCTAGCAGCTCGGTGGGAGGTGTGGAGCTCGCTCTGCGGTGGGCCGGTGCTGGCGACGCCGGCCCCCGATGGGCGGAGGGGAGGCGATCGCGCGAGCGAGCATGATGGGAGAGCCAGAGAGAAGGGAGGGGAGGCGGTGGGCTGGTCCCCACAGGCTTTTCTCGTCAGCTTGAGGAAGTGCATTTGATGGCGTGGGGTGTGCGGACGAGCGTGGAGCGAGTTGTGACTTGTGTAGTATCGTGCTGATCACGATCCCGTACTGCTACTGGCTCTTGAAATGTAGTATTAAGGTGAAACTGAACTTCACACTGTTGACACACTCTGATCCGGACAGCCCTCCTCGCGCACAACTTCCCAAAGAGTACTCCAAACCTCGGCCACCCCGCAAACGCATTGCTCACCCGTCGGCCGACGTTCGTCTCGCCGCGTTGAAGGCGCGCCTCGCCTCCATGTACGTGGTGTACCAGACGAGCGAGCCCGTCGACTTTGTGACGAGCCGCGGCAGCAGCCCGCGCCACAGCGACGCCATCCCCTCGGCACGCGACGCCTGTGCGAGCCCTTCGCGAGGTTCGACTCGCGTCGCGGCCGAATCTCGGACAACTCTCAGCCACATCTCGGCGATCGATCTCGGCCACATCTCGCCTTTGCGAGCCCGTGTGCGAGGCCATCGTACGCAAAGGCGCCGACGCCCTTCGCGCCCTGCGGCGCCAGCCGAGGAATGGCTGAGGTACAGCCGAGCGATGGCCGAGATACGGCCGAGATACAGCTGGGGCATGGCCGAGATGCGGCCGAGGCTTGCGTCATCTGCCGAGGTGCGCGAGATGCGGCCGAGATTCAGCCGAAGCATGGCGGAGAGGTGCGCCTGCGTCATCAGCCGCGTGCGGACCACGTCGATCGGCTCCGTCGCGACGGCGGCGAACAAGCCGGTGGCGAAGCCGATGGCGGCGTTAGCTTTAGTGCCGAGTTGCGTCGGGTCGGTCAGTTCGCCTGTTCACAGCTGGTGGTGTGAGGAGACGCCGTTCACGGCGGCGGGCTGCGTCGGGTCGGCTCGCCGCCCGAGAAGCGAAGGGCGAGGGTGCGGAGCTGCTCCAGGCAAGTGAACTGGACGACCTAGCCGAGGCTGGGAAGGGCGTCACTGGTCCTGCCTGGCCGAAAGGGGGAGTCGCTCGAGGCAGGTGTGTCGAGGGCCGCGTAGCTGGTGTCGAGTACGACCGTCGCGCGCAGCCCGGCGTACAGCCCGCCTGCAGCAGGGGACTGGCCCTCCCTTCAGTGTATGAACCAGCGCCCTCGTATGAACCAACGCCGTCGCTCCTACCGCTCGGCCGCCGCGATGCTACCTCGGCAACCCCGGGGCATCTCGGGCGATCTCGGAGTAGCAGCCCGCCGCGGCCTCCTCGCCGCGCGTGCGAGAGCGCCTCGCCCGCCGACTGGTGCAGGCCTACGGTCTAGAGGTTTGAGGGTCGGGGTAAAGGGTTGGGTGAAGGGCTCGCGCCTCGCCCGCCGCTGGGCAGGCCAAGCTGGATGCGAGACTTGATCACGGAGACGGGCACGCGGACGACGGCGGAGGCGACGCCGGTGAGGACGCCCGCGATCGGCGTCGACTGCAGCGGCGTGCCCTTGAGCGCGCCGCTCGCAACTTCGTACGACGGCATGTACACCAGCGCGATCGGCACCACGCCAACCAGCTGCGGCGTCAGCCCTCGGTAGAGTGAGCGGGCTGCGTTGGCGGCGTCGGCGGCGCGGGAGCGCGGGCGGAGGCTCGGGTCCTTCATCGAGTGCTCCGGTGACCGCGTCGCATCAGCGAGCACGCGGAAGCCAAGCCGCAGGTCAGAGACGATCTGAGGCGACAGCGGAGCGACGCTCAGCGCTCGCTGGGCCGGGCTGGGTGGTGGGAATAGCTGAATAGCGGGCGCTGCGGACTGCGCCGGTTCTCGCCGGCGGCGAGTCTGCGCTGCTACTGGTGCCTTCTTCTACGAAAGCGGGCACCGGGATGGAGGAGGCGCCGGCCCGCTGCCGCTTTGGGACGACGGTGTACTGCAGCCGGGTCTTGATCGTGTCGAGCGGGTGGAGCAGCGCCTTGGTGGTGAGCTCCGCGGCGATACTACCGGCAAAAACGTCCGCCTTGACCGCCATTCGTCGTCGTTTCCATTCGTGTAGGCTGCTGTCCACCCGACCGCGTCGGGCCCCACAAGAAAAAGAATTGTTTTCCTCTCGACCGCGTTCAATCAAGGCAAGGGGTGAGGAAGTGGCCGCCGTTGTTCGCGCTCGTATCTGAGTATCCGTGTACCGTGGTAGGACAGCGTGTGCAAACTCCAAAGCGAATTCAATCAAGCAAAAGTCTCCGGTAACGTTGGGGAGAGGCACGAAGAGCAAGAGGGCGGCGACTTCAACCGACTATCGCGCAATCCTCACCCTAACTTTCGTCACCTGCTGCTCCACCGGCACCGACGCCCCAGAGACGGCCGCCAGGCCGCTTCTCGCCTCCAGAGGCGAACGCAGAGCTTCGGCTGCTCATCTTGCCAAACTAGACCAGCGGGCTTTCTAGCGGCCGATGCCGCCGTTGCACGAGCACGTCGTATCGTAGCACGAGACCTCGGGCGTGTACGTGTCCGGGGGCTCGCCAGAGGGCGAGCACTCGTAATACGTCTTGCAATCAATCACGACATCGATGCCTTCATTCGGATCCGGAGATCCGCTGCAGGAGTCGTATTCGACTCCGCAGGAGTCGCACACGTTGTCCTCTGGATCACACAGGAACTTCCCGTCGGCCGTCGTGCCGCAAGGAAGCGCTGCAGCGAAGCTGGAGCCCACGAGGCAGCCGCGGAGGTCGCGCAAGAACCGGGGAATGCCGAAGACGGGGCTCTGGACGAGGCGTGCGACGGCGGTGGCAATGCAGGCAACGGGGCCCTCGATGACTCCGCACGTGGAGTAGTAGGTGAGGCACACGACGTTTGGGGGGAAGGACGCTCCGATGATGGCTTGGATGGTCTCCGAGAGCGTGTCAATCGGCGCGTCGCACCCATCGGGCTTTGCGCAGACCGGAGGGTGTGGATGGGACGAGAAGAGCGGCTTGCGCGCGAGCGTATCGGCGGGCGCGGCCGCGACGAAGGCGACGAGAGCGGCGGCGACGATGGTCTTCATATATTTCGGTCAACAGCGGGCACAAGTCCGGTTGGTCCCCGCCGGGTTTGATCATCAACGCCGGTGAGTCGCGCCGAAACGAACTGTGCGTGCAACCAAGCGGACTGAAAAAAGACTGGGTATTGCGCGTCGGGAGCAGCAGACACCGATTGCCCCAGAGCCAGACCCCTGAATACTCGAGAGTGAAAAGAATTTTACAACAAAACTCCCTCGCACAACACTGGGCACGGGACTGGCGCGCACTGGCACTAACAAGTGAAAAGAAAGGAAGTTGGCCTGCACAAGCTTTTCCGGCAAACAAAAAGGAAAACAGAGGGTCCCCAGCACTTTGCGTTTCCGGAAATTTCCAGGGAAAACAGAGGGTGTTTGGTGCTCCATTCTGGAAACTCGCGAGTTTCCCTGAGTCTGAGAGCTGGTCTGGGGCAAAATCTGACGCAAAATTGAGGAAATCGGCACGATACCCAGGCGGTCGCAGGGTATTTTCCAGGTATACCCGGGGTTTTCCAGGTATACCCGCAAAATACCCGGTATTTTGCCGATTTGGCTGATTTTGGGCCCAAACCAGCCTCAGACTCGGCTCAGAGCCCGGAAAATTTGATGGTTTCCCTGGAGTTTTCCGAAAATAGAGAGGAAAAGAGAGGGTGCTGTAGAGAAAAAAGGAAAGGAAAGGAGACGGGGTGCGAGAGGAAAAGCTTGTTCAGCCTAAATAGAAAGAGTGTGTCTCACGCCTTGCGCGCCCGGGGGGGGGGGGGGGGAGCGGAAAGGAGGAACCCTCTCAAGAGCATCACTCTTGGAGCGCCATTTGTCGCACGACACGATTCACGCGCGACGACCATCGCGGGCAACGGGCTCGGCCTGCTCGTCGACGCGCTCACGACGTGATGCAGGGGCCGAGCGCCGGCCTCGCCGCGCCCTCGCCGCGTTTCTTTGTACGTTATTCGCGACCGCTCGCACTGCCATCTCTGCCATGCATGCGGACTGGCTACGCAGCGGGCGGTGGGCACATATGTTCACTGTGGACACTGCACGCCTTTAATCGTCACCGCGATATTTTAAACATTTCCGTCAGTTTTGAAGATGCGGGTGCGCACGAGTCCGAGGACCGCGAACGGGTGTTTTGATATAGAGTGACACCCAGCGAGGGGCAGACCTCTCAACGATGGAGGCGAGCCATGGCGCCAGACAGGCGAGTTCACAGCCTTGTTATTGAGAAGAAAATACCTCCTATGGTTCACACCGTCCCAAGCTGGTGTGAACGTGAACTGTGTGGTGGAGTGGGCATCCAAGCAGCACTGGAGGCGGATCGGCGCGCGTAGCGGAAACACTCTCCACACTGGAGTCTGGAGTCTGCCCGACTTCACGGTGCAACACTGTGGACTCTAAACGTAAAACGAGAACAAGAGGCGGAAGGCTGCGCGGTTTCGCTACACGCTTCCTACGACGCTGCGGCGGGCGTGGAGGGCGTGGCGCGTGCACTTTGCGCGCGAGTTCGACAGGGCTCAGTACAGGAGTCAAAACCCCTCAAATAAGACATCGTGAGACCCACAATGGCATAGCCATACACTCACACAACGACCAACGTGCCACTCGCGACTCGGGCGGAGAGACGGGCACGAACCACGATGATTAAGCGTTCGTATCAGCCCCAAGTTGCACCTCCCGCACTGCCTCGACTCTATTGAGCGAGGCATATCTCAGGATTGGCCAGCACCAGCCTGTCGCCGGGCGGGCCAAGACTCTGCGCGCGGACTCTGTGAGGTTCACTCCCATGCTCAAGCTAGTGTGGATGGTCCACTCGAACTTCGTCAGCAGCTCGCACACCATCGCGCGATCGCCCGTGCCCGTGAAGCGCACGTCGCCGCCCTCATCGCGCAGCTTGTCCGTCACATCGTCCAGCAGGAGGTCGGGCGCCACCCCTCTCAGGTCGGGCGCCACCCCTCCATGCTCGAGCTTCTTCGGCGTGCCGTCGTCGCTCACCTCGATCACCTTACGCCGCGCCGCCTGCGCCGCAGCCAGCCTTGCCGGTAGCGTGCGGCCCTGGCGCTCCGCCTCCTCGAAGTGCGCCAGCACGACGCTCGCCGCGCCTTGCTCGAAGACGCACCAACCTCTTTCATCGTACGGGCGGCTGTTGTAGTAGGGAAATATGCCTGCGCCTGCGAGTGCCGGCGGCCGTGCCGTCTTGAGCTCCTTCACGACCTCGCACGCCTGCTCGTGCGACGCAAAGCGCGCGATATATCTGCCATTCTTACGTTCTGGCGTTTCCCCCGGCAGCACCTCCTCGTCCTCCCAGGACAGCTCGATCAAATTGCACGCTGGATAGCCAGACAGCGCTGCGCGCACATCGGCTTCGGTGGCGCTCTCGGGCAAGTTCGAAACGGTGACGCAAGCCGCCTTGGGAAGCTGGGCGGGATCGGGCATGTGCTTGACCTGTATCACCGCCGTGCTGGCAATGCTTGCATAGAAGGAGCCCATCTCCTTCAACGCGCGGCGGAACGACGCATTGAGATTGGCAGTGCGCGGCCGCTGGGGAAGGCTCGCCATGTCCCAGAAGAGTAAACACTCGCTGTGCGCCGCCGCTTTGGTCGCGAGGAATGCGCGCACGCGCTCGAGCGTGGTGCCGTGGGGGTCGCAGTGGCCCGGCGTCTGCCACCCGTGGCTTAGCACGAGCACCTTCCGCTCGCCGGCGCTATAAAGCGCCTCTGCCTCGGCCGGGCTCGCAAACGCCGCGTCGGGCAGGTCCTGCAGGCGCCGAATGATAGGCGTGCCGCGCTCGTCCCGGTCGAACGCCGCGTTCGAAGCCTCGTGGTCCATCAGCCACGAACATCTCAGCAGCCGTACATCGCCAGCGAGCAGCCGCTCGTGCACAGGTTCGTCGATCGCGGCGCCAATCTTGTCAAGCCTCCGGCCCAAGTCGAGCTTTGCATCGCGTAAGTCGCCCAGAAGCCACACGAAACTGCCGAGCATGCCGCCGAACAAGAGGAGCAACATGAGCGCTTCGAGTGCAGAGGAAAGTGGTGTGGCGTGAGCAGCGCTGCGAGCGATCCCGTCGCTTGCCCAGCCCAGGGCGAGCAGCAGGCCGTGCAAGCAGAGCAGCATCTCCTCAAGCTTGTTCTGCTGGTCGTAGATAAAGGGTTGGAACCGGCACTGGCAGACGAGTGACGCAAGAACGACAAGCAGCGAGAGCGCGGTGCTTGTGTATGTCACCACCTGCTTGTCCGCTGCGTTCTGCAAAAAGATCCCGCATGCAATGCAGATGAGTAAGAGTGCTGCCTGGCGCGCCCACAGTACGAGCTGCCACCGGAGCGCATGCCTGGCAAAGCGGCGCGTCAAAAAGTCGAGGCGCCGGGCCAGCCTGCGTGGCTCGAGGCGCATCTCCGCTGTGGCACACCTTGGCGGTTGCTGAAGCGGCCAGCCCTGGAGGTGGAGAAGCTGATAGGTTCGCAGAGCGAGCACGAAGCGGAGCAGCACGCCCAACTGCACTGCTAGCAGCGCACTCGCCAAAGTGATACCACCGGTGACTAGCGCATTCCTCCTCACACGCTGAATGTGCTGCGCTTTCTGAAAGGCCCGAATAAGCTCGATATGTGCTGGGACTGCCCTGAAGGGGAAACCGGCAGGCTCCTCTTGGGGTGCAGCTGCAGCCACGAAGATTGCACTAGTCGCCTGGAGTGAGACAATGAGAAGCAGGGTAAAGGTGACACTCAACGCTGCCACGGCGCCGTCAGCTGACCGGCGCCATCGGCAGCAGTGCAGCGCCAGCTCCGCGAGCAACGAGCTCAGAAACAGGGCAAGCGCGACCCCGCAGAAGATGTAGGAGAAGGCCCAAAAGATTCTGTCCTCCCCACTGCTCGTCGCGGCGATGTTAGCCGCATCCCGCTCGCGTCCTTCCATGAGGCACCCGGCATGGACGCCCAGAGTGAAAATCTCGGACAACATCTGTGCGACATGGGCAAACGTAGGCGGCAGGCGCAGATGCAATCGGCCCATGAGGGCAATGGCTTGTGCATTTTGGACGCCAATGGCCACAGTAGACAAACTCCGCTCGAGCATTTCTGGATGTTGCAGCATTGTTCCTACAAAGATCACGAGGAGAAGCGAGGCGATCGACGCGGAGAAGGCCAGAAGGGCAAAAAGAGTATCGGGCTGCAGCCGACACCGGACGCATTTGTATGGGTTGCTCATGCTGAGCCGAGCGTTGCCAAATGCAGAACACGAATGAGGTGGCACGCCCTTGCAAAGGCGGCCGCTGCAAGCATGTGCGAGGGCGTGGAGATCGAGGGAGCTGGGGAGCTCGAATTGGTTGTTGGAAAGGATGAGAATTTGAAGCCCGTTCTCTTCCTGCAGTCGTGGCACTAGCTGGCGAACCGGAAGAGTGCCGGAGATCGCGTTGTCGCTCAGGTAGAGTTGCTGTATCTCGGAGACGTTCATTGGCCAATACGAAGGAAGTGTGCCGGAGAGCGCGTCGTCGTACAGGCTGAGGTAATTCATTTTGGTCATGTCCCGCAGCTGCGGAGGCAGCGTACCGGAGAGCGCAGTCGCATCCAGCATGAGCAGTCTCAGCCGAGTGAGGTGAGCGATCTGCGAAGGCAATGTGCCGGAGAGCGCACGGTTTTCGCTCAGGGAGAGGTGAACCAGGTCCGCGAGCTGCGAAGGCAGCGTGCCCGAGAGCTGATTTGTGTGCAAGCCAAGCTGAATAAGCCCAGAGTTTGCGGGCTGTGAAGGCAATGTGCCGGAGATCGCGTTGAAGGCCAGACCAAGCAGAGACAGACTGGTGAGGTTCATGAGCTGCGAAGGCAGCGTGCCTGATATCTGGTTTCCACTCGCATCGATCTCGCTCAGGCGGGTGAGGGTAGTAAGCTGCGAGGGCAGTGTGCCGATGAGACCTCGCCCAACCATCCACACTTTTGTATACAGTGGCATCGTGGCATCGACATCATTGCATCCGATCGCCTCGCAGAATGTGGGTGCATGCACGTGGGTGCATGAGTCTTTAGTTGATTTTCGAGTGTCTAGGCGCACGTTGAAGGACATTGCCTTGAGCTGCACCCCGTCACCGCCGCCACCGCCATCAGACTTGGGCGGCACACTTGGCATGATGTATGTGTCGTAGCCAACATCGGCTACGCAGGAGGAAAGATCCACATACCCGCGTCGGTAGCAGAGCAGCGGCGAAGTCGACGTGACGACGACCGCCTCGCAGCCCGCCGTCGCGGCGCACTGCGCAAAGCAGTCGTCGATTGATGCACATTTACAACACGGATTCCCCCGCGGCGTCTCGAGGTCCTCCGCGCCAAAGCCGGCGTAGCAGTTCGTCGAGGCGTGCAACGTCCACGTGGCGGGCTGGCCGGCAGGGTCGCAGCCGCTGCACTCGGCCGGAATCTCCACACTAGCGACTCGCCGCTGCTGCCCCGTGGCGACGGCCACGAGAACCAGACTCAACGAGAACCACATGCTTTGGAGGGGGACAGCACTTCGCGTGCGGCTCTAAAAAAAGAGACAGAACGTACTCGTGGGGCCGCCCCAGCGGCTCCGCACCAGGCGTTTGGGCCGCGAGGGCCGCCACCGTACCCGCCGCCCCTGCCACCGCCTCCACCCCCGCCGCCGACGGGTCCGCCACCGTATGGACCCGCTCGGAATAACCTGGGGGGTCCGGGACCGCCCCGCCGAGGCGTGCGACGCCGCCGTGAGGGCGGTGAGGTTGGACGAGGTTGAGGCTCAGTCCTCGTTCCTCGTGCGCGCTGGGTGGTACGGCTCCGGCCGTGACGGGGGCGGGGAGGGGGAGGGGGCGACGGCCGCACGGAATCGCCGCCGGCGGGGGGCGAGGGCGCGGGCGAAGGAGGAGGAGCCAGAGCCCGGGGAGGATTGGGAGGGGGAGGAGCGGCCGGAGGAGTACGCCGGCCTCTTTGACGACCCGTAAGGGGCCGTCGCCTGCTGTGCCATTTGTAGTGCCAGTCCGAGCCAGTCTGCTGTGAGAGGGGCTTGTATAGTAAAATTCTTTTTTTGAGCTCCACGCCTCAACATATATGTGTGTATATGCTCGCACTCGTCCTGACGTGCCCAGGCCTCCGTGCTGGCGTGCCAGTGGCATCTGCTGAGGCGACGGCTCGGGCCGCCTGGCTCGCCAAAAACCCGTCGCCGTGGGAGGCGCGAGTGACGCCACAAGCGGCACAAGCAGCAAGCCCCTCCGTCTTTCATGCAACGCAGGCTCCTGGCAACCCGTGGCTCGCGCCCGGCCGGCCAATGCTCACTCTCGAGGCGGCAGATGAGATGAGCAGCGTGGCACTCCGCGAGGCGACAGCATATGGCTTTAACCCGATCAGCGTGTGCGTTCTCGACGCCGGCGGCCGCGTGCTCGTGCTGAAGACGATGCCTGCGTCGAGCGGGCTCACGGCGGACTTTGCGCACGCCAAGGCGTCGGTGTGCATCGGCATGCACTGCTCGAGCCGCGAGCTGCGAGACAAGTACCAAAACGACGAGGGCACTCCTGCCTAGATGCCGATGGGCCCAGACCGCGGCTCGGATGGCGGAATTGTGTCGCACCAACGCCGTCGAACGCTAGTTGGGAAGATTTTATTGTGCAGTCCCCGGCTCCCCTCTTCGCTCAGGCATTGGGCCCAAGATGCCGCAGCTCCTCGCCATGGGCACCGCCGGTGCCGCCGCCAACAAGGCGCCCTCACGCCCTTGCGAGGAGAGAGCTCCGCAAGGCGCGAACGGGCCGCTGATCAGTCGTCGGCGGGCTGTGGCCTGTAGGCGCTCGCGCCCTTCCCGGGCGGCGTGCTGTGCCGTGACGCGGCGGGGGTCCTCGTCGGCGCGATCGGCGTCTCGGGCGCGGCGTCCGATGAGGACGAGCACTGCGCCATCACCGCAGCTCAGTCTGTCGGACTGAGCACTGAGCCTGCCGCGAGCAGGCTGGTGTGACAAAAAAGGCGCCAGAGAAACGGCACGCAAGCGCGTTTTTGAGAGCCGACACAGTTCAGCTAGCCGCGCGCGCGACATGCGAGACTCATTTTTTATATAGAGCCTTCCCTACGGACGCCTACGCGTACCGTAGAGCCGTACAACACCGTGTGAAGCGTGACGAACGTAAAGCTAAAGGTAAGGTAAGCGAAGGTAAGGTAAGGTAAATGTCTCCACACACACAAAGTGGTGGGGCAAGGGGGGGCGACCCTCGCATCTCCACGCCCGGGACACGGGCAGGAGAGCCCCACGGCATTCAAAGTGCAAGCCACCGGCCCGGTGCCCCGTGGCCCGTGGGAAATTTTGGTGAGACGTCTCTGTCTCACGGGTGTTTCGTCCCTGTCTCACTTGCATGATTTTTCCGTCTCTCTGCGTCTCTCTAAGCGTCTCTCTGCTGTCACAGTGCTGAGTGTCAGTGTCGCCGGTGCGTCTCAGATGCGTCTCAGATGCGTCTCACATTCGTCTCTTTCGGCCGCGTATCACTCAGTCTCACGGCTGGGCTGAGACGTCACAATTCCTGAGCGAAGTGAGTCGTCTCACTTCCGTCTGAGACAGTGCTGAGCCACAATGAGACGTGGCGCAGGGCGGGGTTTGCGACGCCACAAGCCGCTGCTTGACTGAGTCGTCTCAGGTCCGTAGAGACCATGCTGAGCCAACCTGAGACGTAATTGTGAGACAGTGGCGATTGGGGAGACTCAACTCAGGCTGTGTCTGAGGTGCGGCCTGGCGGGTCTCGGTGAGTGTAGACGAACCCCAAGCATAATCGCGCTCTCTGGCTCAAACGGCGCGTAGCCGCCGGTTGCTCTATCGCGCTCTCAGACGCAAACGGCGGGGGTAGCCGGTTGCGCTCGCGGGCAGATGACCTCGCTGCGCTGGGCTTTGAGGTTGTAGTCCTCGAGCGCGCTGAGCGACGTCACGATGATCTGCCGGCCGCTACGAGCGTCGGTGTCCTGCTGCTTCAGCAGCTTGCACGTGGACACGGGCGCCGGGCCGCCGTACCACGGTTCGAGCGCGCCGAGACTGTAGTTGTCGGTGCACCAGGCGACCTTCTCGCCGGGAAAGAGCTGCTCCTCCTTCTCTACATTGACGACGGGGAGGCGGCCGGCGCGGTTGCACTCGCGCGTGTACTTGACCAAGCTCTTGCACTGGCGGAGCGTCGGGGCGGCGTGTTTCGCCCACTGAGCGTTGCCAACATCTTCGCCTTCCCACACGAACCGCTTTGACCCCTCGAAGTCCTGCGGGCTGTCGTACGGCAGCGTCATGCTCGCGGCCGCAGCGCGTAAATTTTGTGTCACGCTCAAAATTTTCACGCGCAGCAACTTCTTGACAAGACCCACACGTATATAGTGTGGAAGATGTTGGAGCGCTGCTTAGTCAAATGCTTCTGCGTTGTTTTTTTGACAAGAACGGGCCCAGCAACTTCTTGACAAGACCCACACGTATATAGTGTGGAAGATGTTGGAGCGCTGCTTAGTCAAATGCTTCTGCGTTGTTTTTTTGACAAGAACGGGCCCTGCGGGTGAAACTGAAAATTACGGAAACGTCGCTTTTGGGAAAGGTTTTGGAATACGTTGTTCCACCTCCCATACACACCTCCCCCCCCTCAGCACAGAATTTTACAACAAAACTCCCTCGCACAACACTGGGCACGGGACTGGCGCATAGAATATAAGGCAAACCGTAGGGAGGCGTGGGCCGGTCTCGGTGGGGTGGACAGCGGGATTCGGGATAAAAGGTGTGCAGCAAAACAGCGCCCGCGGCCAGATACTAACACATATCGAGTGGTCGGGGGACGTGGCATCAAGACGCACAAGAGTTGTAACCCCTAACCAGAGAGCACTGTGTGCAAGTACGGTTTACGTTAGCAACCCAGGGACAGCCGCGAGCAATCACTGTGCTACCCAATCTCAACCACGGGCGAGGGCCTGCGCTACGCCTTCCTCTCGCCCTTCACATTCGTCCCGTCGCCCAGCCGGAAGGAGTCGAACCTCCGCAAGTCCGCCTCGAACCGGACGTTGTGAAGCGCGCCTGCGTCAAGGGACCCAATCGTGACCTGATTACCTGTTGATTGTCCGACTCGCACTGAGTTGTGCGCGCCGCCAAAGTCTGCAAAGAGGCACCCCTCGCCGGCGGAGGCGCAGAAGCCCTTGTCGTGGAAGTCAACGCCTACAAAAGAAAATGCCGCGCTCAATAAAAAAGAAAACTGGCGGCGGTGGGCCGTCTCGTGACACCTTTCGGGGCGGCGCCCCACACGCCACTGCCCCACGGAGTCTGGAGCTCGCCTACGACGAAACACGGCCCGGAGCCTTTCTTTTTCTGGACCGCACGCCGGCCTGCCCCCACGGAGTAATGCGCTCGCCGCCCGGGCGGAAGGCCAAGCCGGGGATGCCCGCCCAGCTCCACTCGGTGCCACTCACGCGGCTGGCGAGGGGAGAGCCATCGATTCCCTGCCCCTTGACACGCCTGGGAAGAGGCGCAAGCGACCTGAAACGCGATGGCGCCGAGGCCGAGACGCCGCCGAGATGCCGCGGAGATGCCGCCGAGATGGCGAGAGCCAAGATGTAGCCGACGTGGAGCCGAGATGTAGCCATGATGTGGCCAAGACGGGGCCGAGATGTCGCCGCGATGTGGCCAGGCTGTGGCGCCTCCATCCGACAGTGCCCATCGCCAGCGACTCGGGCCAGGTGGAGATGTTCCCGCTCGCCTCGTTCCACGCCTACCTTAAGGTACGTGTGTGAAGGCGCCAGCCTCGGGGCGGGAAGAGGGCTTCGTGCAGAGGCGTCGGAGCGCCGCGTGGAGACGGGCGACCGAAATGCGGCTGAGTACGGCCGAATACGGCTGAATGAATGCGTGACCTCTCGAGCGCTACTTGGGAGGCGAGAACACACGCTCTTCCTCTTCTAGTCGTCCCGCGCCTCGAGCAGCCAGGCCGTGCCGTCCGAGGCGCCCGACGGCGGCGGCTGCATGTGCCTCGGCGGGTAGGCTCCCCCGTAGTGCCTTTTGTCCAGCGACCACTCGCCGATGGTGCCGGAGCCTACGTGCTGAGTACAGCGACCTCGGGGCGGGAAGGCGGCAGCATGCAGAGTGCGCATAGCGCTGCGTGCAGACGAGGGGCTGCGAATGCAATGAATACCGTGTTGCGTGTCTGACTGTCACTGTGCGCTTTCGGGGCCCGGGGCTGCGAATACAGTGAACACCGCTGAGTACGGCCGCATCCGTGCCTGCCCTTTGGCGCTGGTTCGACTACGAGGCTACGCTCTTCCGCTTCTAGACGGCGGAGCCTTGCGGCCGGCCGGCGAGGGTGTACTCGAGCCCGTAGGTGTAGTGGAAGATGTAGACGCCTCGGCTCATCGCGCTCCTTGCGGAGATGCCGGCTGATATTAATTTCTATTACTTTGAGATTAATTTAATTCATTTATGTTAATTAGTATAAATGAATATCACGCCTCGCGGAGATGCCGGCGCCGCCCTCGACCTGGAAGTGGGAGAGCACGTCGTGGCGTTAGGGTAAGGGTTCGGGTTAGGGTTAGGGCTAGCCCTCGACCTGGAAGTGGGAGAGCACGTCGTGGCGAACCCCCAGCTTGGCGGCGGCGATCGAGTAGCCCCACATCTCGAGCACCCACCTTAATTAATAGTAATTAATATTAGGGTTAGGGTTAGGGTTAGGGTTAGGGTTAGGGTTAGGGTTAGGGTTAAGGTTAGGGTTAGGGTTAGGGTTAAGGCTAGGGTTAGGGTAGAGCATCTCGAGCACCCACCCGAAGCGGCGGTCCGCGACAGGGTCGAGCTTGAGGGCGAGCGAGAGGTTGAGCCAGAGCGGCGCGAGGCGGCGGAGCACGGGCTTGCTCACCTAGGGTTAGGGTTAGGGTTAGGGTTAGGGTTCGGGTTAGGGTTCGGGTTAGGGTTCGGGTTAGGGTTCGGGTTAGGGCGAGGGTGTGGATTAGGATAAGGATAAGGGTTAGGGTTGGTGGGTTAGGGTCAGGGTGTGGGTGAGGGTTAGGGTCAGAGAGGCGGCGCAGCACAGGCTTGCTCACCACCAGCGGGCTCGGCCCGACGGGCTGGACGTCCGAGTACGTGACGCCGGGTGCGAACTTGTCGAGCAGAGGCTGGTGCGAGGGCCAGACAGTCGGCCAGTCAGTGGCGCACTAGGCGAGCGTTGGCATTGCCTCCGCACCGTCAGTCCACATACTGTGTTCGACGACGGAATGCACGTCCTAGCGCGAAAGGCGGGGCGCACACGCACACGGAGCACACACGGTGATGTGTGAGCGTTCTCAGGGAGAGGCAGCACCACACGACAGAGGGGCTGCGGCTGGGTGGGGGGAGTGGGTACCTGGTGCGAGGAGCCGCAGTGCATGTAGCCGAAGGAGAAAGCGGCGGCCTGCCGAGTTGGGGTGAGGGTGAGGGTGAGGTTTAGGGTTGGGGTTGGGGGTAGGGGTAGGGGTTGGGGTTGGGGTTAGGGTCGGGTCAGGGTCAGCAGTGCGTGTAGCCGAAGGACAAGGCGGCGGCCTTGTCTAGTGTCGCCAGGTTCGGCAGCGGGCGCATGAGCACGTGGTCGGTCTCCTAATTATACAATTGAGCGAGAATAATGATATAACCATATTACAGCGGGCGCATGAGCACGTGGTCGGTCTCCGCAATGTACACGAACTGCTCCTGGAGAGCCTCGAAGCCGCCCCGGTCCGCGAACTGGACAACCGAGAAAGGGCGGTTGAGGACTCCGAAGTGGCCGTAGCGCGCAATCTCGGCGGTGGTGTACTGCCGCACGAAGAAGGACGGCATCTCCGCCTCCAGCCCGTCCGGCTTGCCGCCCTCCGACGCGACCAGCCGCGTGAAGCCGCCCATCTCGCCGCACGGGCCTATTCACAGCGGGAGGTGTGAAGAGACGCTGTTCACAGCCGCGCGAAGGCGGCCACTGTCGCTGCGCTGACCGGCGAGCTTGCGCTGCTTGACGAAGTGGTAGT